TTGGACATCGGGGGTCGGTGGAGTGATCTTGCTCCACTAGTACGTTGACATTTAGTGCAATCTATTTCCTTGCCTGCCTAGATGTTGTGAGGCACAAATGCCCCGGAGTCAACTCTGTTTGTGTTTTCTATTGGAGCTTTGAATGACTCTTGTTCATCTTGCCCCCCCCCCTTTCATATTCAAAGGCAGGCTATTAGGGACTTCTGAGGAGCAAGACATGCTCTCAAACGGGAGTAATGGGGCCAGCTCAAGAGGGCACCATTACTGAAGCCAGTCATGCTATTGATCCCTTATTATCTACATCGGAGAGAATGTTACTTCAGTGAACTAAAGTAGTTGAAACTCATTCGAACGCTACTCGAAGCGATGGTCATCTGGGTTCGCCAGTTACACCAACGCCTGTTGACAGAATGGGGCGCACACTGGTGTTTGTTTAAAATAAAGACCGTTTGACTGATGGCAAATGTTACGTTTGGTTGGTCACAGCTAACGAGCAGCCGGAGTTGATAATAAATGCAACAAAAAAAAATGCTCAGGACGGGGATGCATCTGGTGGAAAGCTTTCTGTGCCATTATTATCAGCACCTCCATTGTTATTTACCAGAAGACAAGCAACACAGTGTGGGAGGTGGAAGCACACAAAGCAATTATCTTTAATTGAGGCACAGAAACACACCATTAAATTACTAATTTGCTTTTTTTTTCCTTTTTAAAACCGCAGTCTTTTAAAATAATTGGCTCAGCTTTAGGGAATTAATGTCTATTTGACAACGCAGGTCTGACACAATTATACAGTGGGTACGGAAAGTATTCAGACCCCTTTAAATTTTTCACTTTGTTTCATTGCAGCCATTTGCTAAAATCAAAAAAGTTCATTTTATTTCTCATTAATGTACACTCAGCACCCCATCTTGACAGAAAAAAACAGAAATGTAGAAATTTTTGCAAATTTATTAAAAAAGAAAAACTGAAATATCACATGGTCATAAGTATTCAGACCCTTTGCTGTGACACTCATATTGTGTTTAATTAAACTGATTGGACTTGATTAGGAAAGGCACACACCTGTCTATATAAGACCTTACAGCTCACAGTGCATGTCAGAGCAAATGAGAATCATGAGGTCAAAGGAACTGCCCAAGGAGCTCAGAGACAGAATTGTGGCAAGGCACAGATCTGGCCAAGGTTACAAAAGAATTTCTGCAGCACTCAAGGTTCCTAAGAGCACAGTGGCCTCCATAATCCTTAAATGGAAGAAGTTTGGGACGACCAGAACTCTTCCTCGACCTGGCCGTCCAGCCAAACTGAGCAATTGTGGAAGAAGAGCCTTGGTGAGAGAGGTGAAGAAGAACCCAAAGATCACTGTGGCTGAGCTCCAGAGATGCAGTAGGGAGATGGGAGAAAGTTCCACAAAGTCAACTATCACTGCAGCCCTCCACCAGTCGGGGCTTTATGGCAGAGTGGCCCGACGGAAGCCTCTCCTCAGTGCAAGCCAAAAAACACATGAAGGACTCCCAGACTATGAGAAATAAGATTCTCTGGTCTGATGAGACCAAGATTGAACTTTTTGGCGTTAATTCTAAGCGGTATGTGTGGAGAAAACCAGGCACTGCTCATCACCTGCCCAATACAATCCCAACAGTGAAACATGGTGGTGGCAGCATCATGCTATGGGGGTGTTTTTCAGCTGCAGGGACAGGACGACTGGTTGCAATTGAAGGAAAGATGAATGCGGCCAAGTACAGAGATATCCTGGAAGAAAACCTCTTCCAGAGTGCTCTGGACCTCAGACTGGGCCGAAGGTTCACCTTCCAACAAGACAATGACCCTAAGCACACAGCTAAAATAACAAAGGAGTGGCTTCGGAACAACTCTGTGACCATTCTTGACTGGCCCAGCCAGAGCCCTGACCTAAACCCAATTGAGCATCTCTGGAGAGACCTGAAAATGGCTGTCCACCAACGTTCACCATCCAACCTGACGGAACTGGAGAGGATCTGCAAGGAAGACTGGCAGAGGATCCCCAAATCCAGGTGTGAAAAACTTGTTGCATCATTCCCAAGAAGACTCATGGCTGTACTAGCTCAAAAGGGTGCTTCTACTCAATACTGAGCAAAGGGTCTGAATACTTATGACCATGTGATATTTCAGTTTTTCTTTAATAAATTTGCAAAAAATTCTACATTTCTGTTTTTTTCTGTCAAGATGGGGTGCTGAGTGTACATTAATGAGAAATAAAATGAACTTTTTTGATTTTAGCAAATGGCTGCAATGAAACAGAGTGAACAATTTAAAGGGGTCCGAATACTTTCCGTACCCACTGTATATCACCTGTAGACGAAAATCAATAGTGAATATTTTGACGGCCTTAAAGAAGTAACCTAGAATTCACCGATACATTTGGTGTATTGGAAGCTTTTCACCGTTTCCCCCCATCAACTAGTGCTCTTCACTGATGGTTCAGGTGGAAGCCACACTGCTCTTGCTGAATCTGAGTTTCAACAAATCGGCCGATGCCGTCTTTCCAGCTCCGTAGCACAAGCTTTCCTTGGGAGGCTGAGCGACACGATACCCCCGATAACCTGAGCACATCAGCCTTTTGGTCCAACTTTTAAATAATGGGAACCACAGCTCTTGTCTGTCTCGAACCGACAAATCTCTTGAGTATTTGTTTTTCGTGCTACCTGAATAAATACACCTCATAATTGAAGACTTGTGTGTGTATTGTTCTCTGATCATTGACGTAAGCCTGTGATAACCTCTATTCTCAACAACATTGGTGGTTAATTGCACCGGGACGCAGTGCTGATGTCACAGGGGTCAACTGTGTAGGTGGAGGCCTGTGACGTTCCCAATCTGCAGCAGTCGAGGAATCACCGTATGTCTGTGTGCCTCACATGAAATCCCTGGGGGAGGCATTAGACATGCCTCACATCCTTTGTATTGCATTCTCCTGATGATCAGTAGCTAGCCTTGCAGCTTAGGGGTCCACAGGAACATACATGATGTATTAACGTGAAAGCAAAACAGTTTCAAAGAAATGCACGGCACCCCCGGCCTATTCAACCTGTTCAATCCCGCAGAGTGAGGATGAAAAGCTGTGGTCCTTTCAGGGTAAGATGTGATCTCTGAAGGAGCCAGAAAAATGGTGGCTCTTCAGTGCAGGCTAACAGGGCGGGGGGGATGATGATGATGAGTGGTCATCAAACCCGCAATTATAATAATTGCATAATGGAGCGACAATTTTCAAAGCCAATACCTTTGTTGTCGTGAAAAGACTGATTTTATGCATGCATGACGTTTCACAATGCACAAAATGATATTATTTAGAGAGTAAAGAGAGCTCCGTTGCTACCGCAGTGTTCAAGGAGGAGCAATATCAATATTGGCTTCATGTATTTTTTTTTAAGAAATATATCAAGACTGGTGTCATGGTATCTAATTAGCATCATTAGGAGGGTAAAGCACTGTGGGGAAGTATGGTACAAACACAAACCAGACAATCGGCTTTGGTTGGGACAAAGTCCTCCTGGTAAACAATGCCCATGAAGTCTGTTAGAGACACATTTCACACACTGTTTTTATTCTCACGCACTAAAATCAAAGCCCTGTGGCATCACACTTTGCTAGCTGGATCAACGCTGCTTACTGATATGAACAACTGCTGGTGAATTCAGCAACAAGTAGGACATGGATGAAACGCTAAAAGGAAATCACCAAAAACAGCAAATAGCACAAAGCATGGCTTCAGAGCAAGTTAAGCATTAGCTTGGGATGTTAAAAAGAGCTAATACCCTCGACTAGCCTCTTGCAAATAGTAGATCAGTTTCGTATTATTGATCTTTTCCACGTTCCTGCTCGTCCATCATCTAATAATACTAACGACTCATTACATTTTCCACATGTCTCTGGGGAGGCTGAAGTCCTTCCTACTAAAGAGATGGATAGTATCGTTGTGATGGTGGTACAGCTGGGCAATTAATCAAAACAAAGTCACACCATGACTCTCTAAACAACCACATTTTAGTCACAGCTGCTGGTGATTGCAGGTGAGAAAGTTAAGTAAAGTGATATTTAGATCTATTTATAATTTATTTAGATCCAATTTATAATTTGATTATTTTGCTGTGAATAGCATATTAGCATAGTGCTAACTACTGATTATGTTAACTAAAACCATAATCCATGTTGTTTTGCTAATATATGTAGAACAGCTCCACTGTGGGGACAGAGAATCTTGTGCACAGGTGTATTAAATAAATCTCATTAATGAATCCTTACTCAGGTTCATTGTGATACTAGTTTTAGGTGAAATTGCCCTAAGTGGCAGTAACTGAGATAAAGTGTGATGCCAGGTTTATAAAAGTGGTTGCTCAGTATGTATCTCGGTCACAATAACAAAAACAAATCGAAGGGATCTGTATCAAGATTGCTTGTTTACATTATGGGTTTATGTTTTTCTTAAATAGTATATTTTAAACTCCCAAAACATCAGCATCAGTATGAGCCCCAGAAATCCTGCATCTGACACGCTCTTCCTCTCTGCTTTTTACTAAATTTCCATTTCTGCAGTTACGTATAAAGAAGAAAAACACATCTACAGCCATACGCTTATCTGAACAGAGAAGGTCACACAAACAGAAAGGCCCACACTGAACAGCTCTCACTATGAGGCCAGAGGAGGCCCTTGAGATTACCTGGCAAACTGAAAGCAGTTTAAAATCTCTGCCAGTCACCAGTGACTGCTTCCACAGTCACTCACGCTACTTTAAAAAAGAGGGGATTAACACTTTGGGGATTAACAAAGTCACCATGAAGTGTGACGTAGCCAGCAGTTGTGTGAATGCATTTCCTCTCTGATGAGGACAAACAGCTGTAAGCAAAGAGGCACACAGCGGCCCTTTCTGAACCGCTGCTGACATCCAACATTGACTCCTCCTCCGGCTCCTCCTCTCCTCTCCTCTCTGCTTCATCCTACTCCTCTACCTCCTCACCTCTTCCTCCCTTCTCTTACATGTTGCCCAGTGCTCGTGTGCAGGACGAGGCTTCCGGCCATGTGGGAATTTCTCCTAATAGTGGCTCTCGGTTAAATCCGCATGTTGGTACGGACGTCAGTGCAGCAGCCTTATCAGACGTGGCGAGCAGAAGCAGAAGTCCTTCAATCTGTGCAGCCTTGAGGATTGAGGAAGCTCAACTTCACTTTCCCTGCCAGTGGAGCAAATCTCGCAGAAAGAGTAAGAAACTACCACTTTTGCCGCTTTCATCAATTTCCCAGAAGATGAGTTTATCTTTGGTGAAAGAGGGGAAAAAAAAGCTTTGATGAGATCTTCACTTGACTACTGCTGAGGACCAGGAGTTCTAGTAATTCACCCTTCTGTGAAAAAGGTCTGGACAGCACCAGCGAGGCACCGAAGCTGCTCCGTCACATGGACGTGGACACTGAACAGCTGTTGCATTTACCATCTTGTCTCGGAGAGAAACCAGACCGTTCGGGAGCAACACAGAGCTGCACGAGGATGCCGGGAAAACTTGTTCGCATCGAAGCACCTCGTACTTAGCAACTGATGAGGATGAGAGACCGTGTGATGACCTACCTGTATTTGACAAGTGTGTTTTTCACCTCGTTGGAGAAAGGAGCGCGCAGGGAAAAAAGTCAGCGAGGGGGAACAGGGGCGGGGAAGAGCGAGCCAGTGAGGGAAGGTGTGAAGCCAACGCTGTGAAAGAGAGAACTAGAGAAGCTGGGAAAGACAGAGAGAGAGAGAGAGAGAGAGAGAGAGAGAGAGAGAGAGAGAGAGAAAAAAAACTGACTGCCAGACTGACGGAGTAAAAGGAGAAACAGCGTATCAAAGACCTGGCCAAGCGCCCATTTAACGCTGCAGGATTGTGTTTTGTCAGAGCCATACAGGGTGAGTATAAATTCCGTTTGATGTGGCTATGATGACAGGAAATTAAACAGGGCGCAGGAGCAGCTGTCAACTTACTGCTCAGTAAAATCCTATTATGAATTCTAGCGTTGTAAATTTTTGATGGACTGAATAGCAAATATAACCTGAGTTACTATATTAATGAATCATGGAACAAGTGCTGGGGTTCATCAGTTGTCACTGGTGCTTTTATGAGCTCTACGGTACATTTTGTTCAATGCAGATTTAAAACAAGTCACTTTTGACACCCACAAGAGGTTATTAGATTGATCCTGGTTACTTTGGATAGTCTGGGCATGGCCGTGTAGAGGTGCTCTGTGTTTAGTTTGTTTTGCTCAGGAGAAAGTGGGAGGTACGTGGAGCAAGATGATTTGATCATTAAAAACTGCTGGGGATGAAAAGTCACATGACTGGCATCCGAACACTTATAGCACTGCATCCTCGGAGGTATAAACAATGTGATTGCTATCCAAAGAAGTTTTAAAACTGAGCTGGAACAACAAAAGATTAGTTGAAAATTTAGAGGTAACTATTTCAGCCATTTTTCAAAGGAAAAATGCCAAGAATTACACTTGTTTGAGCTGATGAAATGTTAAAATTTGCAGGTTGTCTGTAGCTGACAATTGCTTTTTTCATTATTGATTAATTTGCAGATAATTTTCTCTATTAGTTGGTTGGTCAATAGAACGTCAGAAAATAGTGAAAATGTCCATGGCTGTCCTCGATGGTGGCGACGTCATGAAATGTCCAACAACTGTCAAAAACCACAAAATATATAAAGATATAAAAAATTACTTAAAGCTGAAGCACAAATTTTATATGTTATTTGTAATTATTTGGGGGTTTTGGATTGTGGGTCAAAACAAGGTTTCTGACCACTTGACCCATGGCTCTGTGAGACTTTAAAGGGCGTTTGTTTTAAACTATTTTTCAACATTGAGACAATTTAATTAATTAAGATTAGTTTATCTGCCGTTTATCGTAAAAAAAATAATAATTGCAGCCCTGAAATAAAGCCTCACATGTTAAAGTACTCGACAGTCAAACAATGGAACCGGTATATTTAAGGATGAAAGTGAGTAGACCGCTCTGTAGGTGAAAGTGTCGACGATCCACCTGCTGCTCTATTTGACCTCACACCATCCTCCGCCGGCTTCATCATAATCACCGACTGCAGGGAAACGAACCACCAGTGACGCGCTTTTGTTTCCTGTGTTCTTGAACAGCCTCATTCCTCTGCTTTGACGCCAGCCTCCTCCAGTCCCGATGGGCTAATCAAGTATCCATAACAACACCGGAACATATAAATGAATGGCCTGAATGGGACTATTCATCCTGGTTAGGAAAACGTCCTTGTGTTTGTCAATCCAGTTAGCTAAACCACTGAAGCTCTAATGCAATTTCCTCTTGTCTCATTATGATTGAGCCTTGATAGGTGCCCATTAGCAGCCCTGGTAGACTACGGCTGCGGGGGAGGAGGACTGATCCTTGTCTTAATGTGTACAGATAGATGACCGTGTTAGGATGTAAATAACTGCCCAGCAATTCCCCCAAGTCATACAGGCACATGGACACACACGCACACACACACACACACACACACGCACACGCACACGCACACGCACACGCACACGCACAGAACATGGCAACTGCACCATGTGTGATCATTATCCCTGGCAACCGCACAATCAACCCCCAACAATGCGAGGGCTGAGACGAGACATGACAAAATAGAAATCACCCCGGGGTTACGAAAACGTCGAAAGCGATTCATTCCTTAAGGCTTAGTGGCATCTTGGTGCGTTTTAATTCATTCAATACAGACAAACCACCTTTCGCCGGAAATTCCTCTCGGATGAAAAGCTTTTCTGCACAAAAGGCAGCTTCTAGAAAAAGCACTGGTGTGGAAATATTTTGAGAATCCTTGAAAACCAATCATCGGATTCAATCAAAAAAACACATGAATGCTAAAAGCACTCGGGCTGTTTGGACAAGCAGCCGGGGCGACATAATCGCCATGTACGAGACGCACGGAAATCAACATGACCTTCAATTCAAATCACACGTCTGTTTACATTATTTCCCCGTCAGAGCTGCGTTTGTCCTAATCACGCTGAGTACAGCGGGGCGTTCAATGAAGCCTTTACAAATAGACAGTCAGCCACGGACTGTTTCTGATGACTCGATTATATATTTGAAATAGATCGTCGAGGCAAAATTCAATGAAGCGGTAGACGTCTTTATAGGCCTTGAGCCTCGGTTTTCCCCTTTTTGGTGCTTTTATTGTATCGTATGAAGTAATAATAATAATAATAATAATAATAATAATAATAATAATAGTAGTAGGTGAAGAGATAACATCGCCAATGCTCTTTAAAAGGATTCACTGCAGCAGCGAATGCAAATTGAAATTGAATTATAAGCCAACCGAGGTTATATAAATGGAGATTATATAAACCACAGACTCTGCACTACACCATCTTAGGTAGAATGTAAGAATGAAAGGAGTGGGATGCACGGACTGCATTATTAGTGTTATAGTGATGGAAGATGTACTCGGATGTTTTACTGAAATAAAACTGGCAAAACTACAGTGTGCAAATACTTTGTCTAACATTCAAAGTATTACCATCAGAAGATACTTTAAGCACCAAAAGTGTAAATGCTCATTCTGCTGAATGTCTCATTCGGAACCATTTTTATACTCCTGAATTATGATTATTTATGCATTAATGTGTTCATCACTTTAATGTTGCAGCTGGTAAAGGTGGAGCTTATTTTAATGACTTTATATATTGTTGGGTAGCTTGTGATTTTTTTTCCCCCTATGGTTCAATGTCCCATTTATCTACATTTCCCAATTTCGGATTATGATCATTTCAAATGTTGACAAAACGATCTCACTTCCATTCAGTAAGTGTTCTGGAGCTTTCAATCACATGATCTTCGTTAGCAGACACAATATGCCTGGTGCATGTCCACCTAGATGTTAAAAGTTGTTTAGACTAGAATATAATCACAATTTTGTATTTAATAATTTAAGTGAAAGTGATGAACACAAAATCCCGATTTTAGATAACAGACTAAGTGCCGTTCATAAATGCCTATGATCATAAACTTGGTATCTACAGCAATGTATTAAGACATCACTCTGCATCTGTTCAACCTGGAACTGGAGTTGTGGAGCAACCGCAGCTCCTCCCAGTCTTTACGCATTTCTCTGTTAAATCGGGCAGAATTGTCATTTTTACTTTCCACTTTGTCTTCACATTTGAATAAGATCCCAGCTGTGGGGAGAAGATTAGAGGTCTTGAACACGGCGAGTGTTTACAGGTGTTGACAGGTGTCGTTTCCACTCTACTGTGCAGGAAGAGGATCTAATGATAGTGATTCCTTTCATCATCTATTCAGCCAGAAACTCTGAAGGTTTCAGATCCTTTGGAACTTTTGCTAAACAGCAGCCACAATGACAATATGATGTTAAATGCTTATTTACAGCGTAACTAATGTCAACCCCTAAGTACATTAAATTAAGTAAAGGTGTGTTGTATTGATTATTCATTTAAAAAATGTCAGAAAATAGTCTAAAACTGCATCAACTTGTCATATTTTAAATGTCCTTGTCATATCTGAATGACAGCATTTTTTAGAAATGGTGAAACGATTATCAAAATTGTTTGAGATTCGTTTTCTGTCGAATAATTAGCAAACGGCTTGTTTCAGCTTTGAAAATCTTTGAAAAGTTGCATGGTCTCACTTTGACAAAACTCCCGATGCTTTCTGCCCTTTAATGTCAGGGAGAACAAAACACTCCCCGCCCACACACACACATATTTATAGAGTTTTGTTTTAGGTTGTTCGTATGTGCTCAGCTCTCACAACAGTGGACGACAACATCATCAGATGGAAAGTGTCTTCTTAGGCAGCATCCGTTATGACTATGCTGCTTTGAGGCAACAGGAAACCGATCTATTCGATTAAAGTCGTGTAAAGTCAGCCCACAAACCTGCTGGGCGACTCTGAATCTTGGAAGAACTTCACGAAGCATTACAGACATTTTAAAAAGCTCTAAATCATCTCTATCCGAAAACACGTAACATTTCTGACCTGTACATCCTGTCCATCCAGTCTTGCCAATTCAACTACCAGAATACTTCAACACCTTGGATACAAAATGAGACAGAGAAATAAGCCCCCCCCCCCCCCCCCACACACACACACACACACACACACTAAGAAGCATTTTTATGATACTCAAGCCAAGAGGAAAAGGGAGGTTTCTGTGGCAGATTCCTGATTCAACAGCTACCTTAATTGGCCAGGAAAAGGACTCTTGAAAGCATCGCCTCCCACATACAATTAAGTATCCTCTAGAGAGCGGCAGCCTCTTGCTGTACGGCATGACTAATCTGACAATGTGGGCAAAACACAGAGACGAGAGATACGAGTCAAACAACTCACTGGAGAACCTTTGGCATTTACACTACAAGAGAAGGGGAGGGGAGAGACACGGCGCCGCAACGCTCTCCAACTCTCTAATGGCGTGAGAAAAGCGTTTTCACTGAAAGCAGCTGCGGAAAATAACACCGAGATGTGCGACTGAACCAAAAACGCAAAGCTGTGGGCCATTCAACCAAAACCAAAAAGCGGAAAAATACTGAAATACCCCATAAATCTGCAGAGTCGGCTGATAATCATCAGTTTGTTTGTCACTATTAGCGACCAATGTCAAATCACACATAGTCATTTCACCTTTTGTCAATTTTTAAATATTGATTCGTAGCTTTATACCATTATGAAACTCACAACAAGCATTTTAAAAACACCCAAAACACGAAAAGAAAACATACAATATGCAACGAAAGTAAAATATAATTGTTATACTTTAAAGTTCATTTATGTGTCATCATAAAAAGGAAAAACAACTGGTGGATGTTTGTTGATTATTAACTAAAAGGCCAATGTGCTGGTGTAACACTAATTTGAATAATGGCATATTAATACAATCTCACATCCTGTTGATTTATATAATAACATTTCTAGACTTTAAAACCACAGTTTATGAAACTGTAAAGTACGCTAGAAAGCCAACAGCCAAAGCTCATTGTGGTCTGCTATCTGAAAAAGACCGTCCTAAATATGAAGAAGTCTGGAGCTCTGCTCTAATAAGACGACACTGAGATTTCTACTTGTGCTCCTTTGGGGGAAAGAAAAACACAAACAGGGATGAGAGACTGTTGAGAGCCCAGGAGGCTGAAACACGGAGCACTGAGGCTGAAAGTAGCAAACAAAGTCAAACAAGGATTTATGCAGCCGTTTGACAGCAGTGTCCAACACGGACATTTCATTTCAACTAATTAGGATACGGAGACAACTTAAGAAAAATGCAATTAGACTCGCTGGAGTATTTGACACAGTGCGAGTTTTACATGTCGTTATCCCAGAGAGGCTAATACACAAATTAGCATAAATACCTTTGTACCTTTAATCCAGTGATGTTTGAACATGTGAAATGGAATTAATTTGTCTTAATTGGTTTTATTTCTTTGTTGTGAAGCATACATAAGCCCAAAAAAACTCTGAATTATAGGAATATTTTTAGGAAAGTTTTTGCAAAGTTCAGATGTCTGACTTGTCTCCCCCGTCAATGGCTGACTGAACACTGCGGTGGGCAAAACAAACAACCTCCTCGAGCTTTGTTTCGTGGTCCGATCTTACCTGCGGCCTCCAGCAGGAGGTGGTAGTCTATTCCTCTCTGAGCGGGCGTGTCATCGTCAGGCTCCGGCCTCTCTGAGGCCTCGTAACGCTCCCAGTTTGATCCCAGTTTCCTCCTGGAGAAAACCTCCGGCCTGTCGCCTTCCTCCTGAAGGTTGTCCCCCTCATCTTGGTCCTGAAAGAAGAGCAACATGGCGGGGTACACAGTGAGGAACGGAGGGATTTAAGCGACAAATGGGAATAACGGTGCACCCTTTATAACAGTCTCTACTAAAAAAAGCAAGACAAGAACAAACTGTATTTTAAAAATGTCTTGCACCATGATTCAATAATTTCTCATTTGAAACAATGATGAGACATGTGATAGGACAGAAAGTTCAAAGAGCCTTTGCTCACAATCAAATTAAGAGAAGAACACTGTAGGTTAATCGATTCATTGATCATTGATTCAGAAAATTAATTAATCTTATTAAATTCAACATAAATGGGGCCGAAAATGGTGTTCCACAGTCCTGAAGAGTCCATTTTTACATCTTGTTTCTGCTGTACCATCGTCCCTCCGGAATAGTTTGTTGGGAAATGTATGTGCACCAACTGGCACACCATCACATAACCTCTGAAACACGCCATCTTTCCATTAACAACTTGCATGTTGGTGTCGTTCAGACATCATTCAGTTGGAGCAGATCATACAGACATGGCAGATAGTGTGAACAAGTAATTCAGGCTTGTCTGTTTCATTTTTACAAAAGAGTAAACTTTGCAAAGCCAGTTAGCCTTGGGTACAGTGACTGAAGATGTTCCCAACAACACTTCCTCTGACTAAGCTCCACAAAGCATGACACAAAGAGCAATTTGTAAATTGGTCATTAACACATAGCTCTTATTCATAGATGGGTAGCTAAGCCAAACAAAACGGGTCAAGGTAAATGGCACGTTCCACTGTGTGACAAAGAACAAGACATCCAAAACTGAACGAATTTAAATGTGTCTGCGTCATAGAGTTCTTGCCATTTTTTGTCACATGGCTGCACAAACCTTTAGGTTGCCATAGAAAAGAGCAGGTGTGTCAGAGAGACAAAGCATGCTCAGTTTCTCTGGGGCCCTGTCAAAAAAATAACAACACAGAGCTCGTTTTTCCTCCAACAATATCATCAAAGACCCCCATGGTATGATTGCAATCAAGGAGCCCCTGTTCCAAAGGAGATTTGTATGATTGCAATCAAAGAGCCCCTGTTGTTTACCTTCTACTTCTGTTAGTTACCATGGCAGGAGCATCTACTCACAGAGCATCCCAGTGGATGTGAGGCTGAGAGTGTCACATCCGAGGCCCGGTGATAATGTGGGAGTGTTTGTGGAAGACCAAGACTCATGTACAGTAGAGACGTGTGCAAACACACTTCTGTAATGCACCGCAATCAAACAACGTGTGTGCTACAGCTACTTGTGTCGAGTATGAGTCACAGCTCTGCAACTGAACAGAGGCTGTGCTTTGAATGTGTGGAGAGAAAAAAAACCGTCACATATTTGCAAATTGGCGTTATCGCATTGATATTATCCGAAAAGTCCAACTTTATTCAAATAAACTATCAAAAGCTAAACGCGGGGCAGCCTATGGGACTTAACGTAAACTTCCATGCTCTCTCTCACCCGGTGTTGGAACTCCGCTGAGTGGCCGCTTCCCCCGCGTCCACGGCCGCGGTAGTGGTCTCTTTTACCCCGGCCGCGGTGGTGGCCTCCTCTCCCTCTGCCCCGGTGTTCACCGCTGTCGCTGTTGCTTCCACCTCGGCCGCCTCTTTTCCAACTGCCTCCTCTGGCTCCGCTCGGTTTAGCGTCCATTGCTGTCAATATTGGCCGGACAGTTTAACATGTGACACCTTCAAGTTGAACGGAACAAGTGTTACATTGAATGCTGTCCCACGACAAAATGGCGTTTGATGGTTCCGAGTCAAAATAATCAATTTTACATTTCAGAAATGAACATTTTTGATTGGAATACAAAGAACAGTTTAAACAGTATAACTTATATATATATATATAT